CAGGAGCCTCGCTGGGCACTGGCCGGTAAGGATGTCTGTGGGTCATTTTTCACGCAGGGAGCCCTGTTAGAACCGACCCAGCAGTCTTCCCGGAGAGCCTGTGGCCACGGCACAGTGCAAAGACATGTCACTCCACGCTCTGGTCTGTCACCAATTTGGTTTAATCTCAGGATGCTCAGAACAGGACCCCCAAGCTGAGCCCTGCTCCCCCCAGGCCTCACTCAGGCCTGCCTGGGCTTGGTCTCAGCTCTGAGTATGATGTTGTACAATCATGGTGTCCATCAGGTGCCTCCCGTCCAGCCAGGCAAAGGTGGCAAGTCAGGCTCAGTACAGAGGCCCCTGTGCTTCGCATCCCACGGGGCACTGACAACCACAGACAGCTCAGAGCATGAAGCAGCTCTCAGGGGCCACCAGAGCAGGGACAGCTCACTGGATCCAGGACCAGCCCAGGCTCAAGCCCCTGCGTGGGGTCCTGTGTCCTGCTTGCTGTCCAGGGAAGGCTCTGCTGCCAGGCCAGGCCTGCCCCCCAATATCCCACCTGTCAGGTGATAACAGCACTGGGGCTTCTTTCTTGTGGGGCACAGGGACAGGGACCCCTTTCTGCTCTCAATCCCTCTAGTCTCTGAGCTGTTCAGAATCAAAGAACCGAACGCCAAGGATTGGATGGGCTCAGGAGGCCTCCAGTCCAATCCTGGTCCTCCGAGCAGCCTGCCGAGAAGTGCCCCCTACTCTGCTTATTCCCTCTCCAACAGGGAGCTCACTACCCTTCTAAGACAGCAGTGCTGTTTGGAACCAGGGGAGGGCCCTTCCAGCAGGTTCTGTCTGATGCAGAGGCCACGGTCACTAGAGATGAAGGGGCCGGTGGGTGGTGCTTCCTTTCTTCTGCCCAGGGCAGGCCTTGGGCCCACCTCACACTGCCTGGAGTCGTCTGGGAGGAAAGGATGGGGCGGGGAGCTGGAAGATCAGGAGGCCAGAGGAGCCACCGTGGGAGCCCTGGCTGGGCTCGGTCTAGGTGGCTCCGATGTCATCGTAGTCGCTAGAATCAGCAGAGTCGGACCGGGGGCTGGGGGACCCTGCAGGACAGGAGGCTCAGGTCAGCCACAGGCCCAGCCACGGCCTCAGTTTGCTGATGGGACAGGATTGAGTGAGGCTGAGTCCACACCCCCTCCCACCATGACGCTGTCTGAACCTCTGTACCACCCGGCTCTCTGCCACCTCCTTCGTTAGAACAACAGCCTGAGAGCTGAGCCCGTGTTGCCCTGGGTCTTCCTGGGTACTGGGGGCTCCTCTGCTGCAACACTTTCTCCTATCTGACTGCTTCTGCTTGAATGCCTCCATTGACAGGGAGCTCACTTCCTCCCATGGCAGCCTGTTCCATCTCTCTGAATCTTCCCTCAACCCATCCACATGCCTTGGGTTGGTTGATAGAGCCAACCAATCCAGAGCTCCCCGACTCCCCCACTCCCCCGCCCCTGTCTCCCCCTGTCTCTATTCCTTCCCCAGCCTCAGCACCTGGGCACCCAAGTTGCTCCACTGAAGGGGGCTGGGGCGGTGGCTGGAAGTTCTGGTACCACTCCCCAGACGAGGTGCTGGAGCTGTCGTCAGGTGCGGGCCCTGTCAGAAACCCCGCAGACTGTCACCCTCAGCCAGGAACTCTGGGAGGGTCCCCTCCCCCTGGCTCAATGACCAGAAGACCCAGAGAGGAGAGGGGACTGACCCAGGTGGGTGGCTGCAGACTTGGGAGTCAAATGCTGCCTTCAGCCTGCTCAGGGGCCTGGGTGGCAGGATGGAGAGGGGCGGCTCTATTCTCCCTCAGCCAGGCTGGCTGCAGGGTGGGAGGTGGGGGATATGCAGAGGGATGCCCCCCCCCTGTCATCCCCCACCCCCATTTTGCCGGCCCTGCTCACCTGAAAGAATGGGCTGGGAGCCAGCTAGCTCCAGGTTGGGGGGCTGCTGCAGGAGGGGGCTCCTCTCTGAGGAAAAGGTATTGGGGGTCCACAGAGGTGGCTTGCTGCTAGGGCTGTTACAGTAGTCCTCTCCAGAAGAGGTGCTGGAGCTGCTGCAGGGTCCTGGGTGGCTCTGGGGACCTGGACACAGGGGATCTGCAGGTGACAGGTGGGAAGCATGGGCCTTTTAGTCTTGGGCTAGGAGTAGAATGGTGAGGACAGAAGAAGCAATGCAGCAAGAGGGCTGCAAGTTAGACTCGAGAACTTCCTGCTCACGTCAGGAGTGGGCCTGTTGCAGAAGGCGGCGGCAGCTAATGCATCTCACAGCGAGCTGAGACACTAAATGTGGAGGCAGGGATGGCCCCATCAATCCCCTTCCATCCCACCCCCCGCCCCCCATGCTCCCCAGCCTGACACACCTTCCTCCAAGGGGGGCATCTGGAACCTGCTCTGCTGGGCCTCCTCATTGGTGATGTGGTACCGCTGGGAATCTACAAGGGAGCGGAGCAGGCTGACGGCCAGCCTCTTGGTGCTGGGAGCTCTGTGGGGAGGGCCAGGCTCCTTGAGACATGAGAGGGTGTGCCTGAAGCTGACCTTGGGTGAGTAGGACGGACTCAGAGGGGTGATTTCCATTAGTTCCCTGGCTCCCATCCAGCCCTGGAAGGCCCTACACTCACACAACTCTTACAGGCCCCTATCCCTCCACCCCAATCTGAAGCCTGACAGGTGAGATTGCTGTGGTCTTACGGACTTGGCCAGAAACTCCAGACCCTGCAGCCCACCCCCTCAGTCCCTCTGCTACTTGGGAAGGTATCAAGAGGCTCTCTGGGTGCCCTGGCACCTCTGGGTAGGGGTGCCTTTCGAGAGGCCTCCCTGGAGCCAAGGGCAGATGGGCTTGGGTCTTTGTATTGCAGGACACAGGACACACACACACACACACACACACACACACATCCCCTCCAAGTTTCCGTCTGAGAAGCTGAGAATCAGAGAGCCCTGAACATTTGTGTCTGTGGAATCCTGAAGTCAGCCCTCCCGTCCTCAGTGCCACCGGCGTTTAGTCTCAATGACACTGACCGTGGGACTCTCAGGACCTTTCTGGGTCACGAGGACAACAGACTTGGGACCGCAGAGCAACAAGAAGGAAGGAGGCTGGGCTCCTGCCAGCGTCACAGGCCATCTGAGGTCTCGGGTCACACACAGCCTGTCTGGCCCATCCTCCCAGCACTGCCTGACCTTTCCCCTGCCGACCCCAGCTGTGGGGAGGGCAGAGATGTGACAAGCAGGGCGGGAGGGAAGAAGGGATATGCACCAGCCAGAAGCCACCAGAGCTGAGGCCCACACCTGGGCGCCCCCCGCCCCCTCGCCCCCTCATCTCTCACAGACGCAGCCACCAGCAGACACGGGAGAGGGAGCTGTCTCCTAGAACTGCTGGGACCAGAGTCATAAAGCCTGCGGGAAATGCAGGTCCATTTGTGGCCAATCCAGGGGGTCACAGCAAGGCCCTGCCCACTGACGATCCCGGCCCGCTGGCCCCACTCCCTGGGATGGCAGTAGGCCCTGGGGCACCGGGCACTCACTGTAGAAGGTGGTCAGGGCCACGGGAGGCTGGGCGCTGAAGTCATAATGCTCGTAGTCCGAGTCGGACTCAGAGTCCTCGGGGGGTGGGGCCCGAGTCTGGAGGGACAGCTTGGGAGCTGGGGAGAGAGCAGAGCAGGGGTGGGGGCAGAGCCACAGTCAGAAAGAATGGGTGTGTGTGGGGGGGTGTGACCGGCAGGGAGCATGGAGGTCCGGGCAAAGCAGTAAGGCAGGGACTCCCCACCTCAGATCTATCCACCCTTTAGACCAGTGTTTTTCAACCTTCCTAATGCCGGGACCCTTTCATACAGTTCCTCATGTGGTGGTGACCCTCAACCATGAAATTATTTTCATTGCTACTGCATCACTGTCATTTTGCTACTGTTAGGAATCAGGCAACCCCTGTGAAAGGGTCGTTCGGCCCCCAAAGGGGTCTCGACCCACAGGTTGAGAAGCACTGCTTTACACGGACACTGACCAGGGTCTCAAGGCGGACCAGGCTCTATGGGCATCTTTGTGAAGCTTCACCCTCATGATCACTCTGGGAGGAAGTGCCTTCTTAGCCCACCTGGCAGGTGAGGACGTGGAGGCCCAGCAAGCAGAACCTGCGGGCTGGCTGTCCCCTCTGTGGACGCCTGGTGCCAGGCGGGACTTGGACACACAGGGACCGGTGTGCCGAGCACCACAGTGTGAGGCTACGTCCCGCCTCGGCAGCCCTGTCTCTGAACTCTTCCCCGTGAAACTGTGTCCATCCACGCAGAGTGCGGGGCCAGCAACCTCGCGTTTTCTGAGCTACACATTCAGATAGCTCTTCCGTCCCTCCTTCTCATTCAGAAAACACAGACGCAAATGTGGGTCCAGGGGCTCTTGAGTCCTTTCCTTGCGGTCCTCAGCCTACATCTGCCCCAGACTTGAAAAGCCAGGATGTCCGGGCAGGAAGGGTCACCTGCCCACCAGAGAGGGGACTGGGCCCGCTCACAATCCCACCGTCACGAGTGGGCCTAGATCTCATCCCCAGCGAGGGCCACTGTCGGGCTCAAGGAGAGGAGTCAACCCTGACCCCGAAAGGTCCAGGAGGAGGGACATCCTACCTTCTTCTTTGGGGACGGTGCTGGGGGGCTCTTGGTAGCTGTTGATCCCCGCCGGGGTGCCAGTGGGTGGGTGGCTGACCATCGCAGGGAGGGCTGAGGGAAGGGCATGACGTCATGACAGGGCCTCGTTCGCCTTGGCCTGGCTGGCTCTGTTCTCCCCGGAATACCCTCTTCCACACCCTCTCCACACGTGGCCCATCTGTTCCTCTCTGGTGGGGCCACCTGCTCAGAGCATGCTGGGAGAATCCACTCCATCTGGAGATGCTCCTGGGGGCATCTCTGTGAAGACTGGGGGAGCAGTGCTGGCTGTGCTCATGCTGGCCCTCGGCTCGGGCTGTGGTTCCCACACACGTCCCGTGTCCCTTGGAGCAGCCGCTCCTCTGCCTGCTTCTTCCCACCCCTGGGCTTGCCCCCCTGCTTCCCAGAACACCTCGCCTACCGTACTTTCCTTTAGCCTTCAAGAGGAGGATGGCTGTGGAAAGGAGTGAGCCCAGGAGCAGGACTCCCAGAACGATGCAGGAGATGAGGAGGATTAGCTCCCAGGATTCCTTGCTCTCTATTGGCGTGGTCACAGAAGATTCTGGAAGCAAGAACCACGCAACTCAGGAGGAAAGCAGCATGGGCAGAGGCTTCCCCTTGCCCTTCTCCTGACCTCTCCATCCACCCCACAGCCCTCCCCCTCCTCCTCCCTCCCTCCCTTCCCTGCTGCCATCTGCTCTCAGACACTCAAGAAGTGAACACTGAATGGACGCGGGACGGACAGAGGGCTCCCTTGCCTGACATGTCCCTCTGCCCACAGCCCTCCAGGACCATGAGCTTCCAGACCATGGTGTCCTTATTCTGCCGGCAATCACTGAGCGCCCACTGGGTGCCTAGGAGCCGGGACCGAAGCTGTGGCAGTGGGGTTTGGAGGTTACTGTGAACCAGGCACCGGGAAGTGGGAGCAGGAATCTGACACCATCACCACAGGCCTCAGGGAGGAGGAGGCCTACAAGCCAGCCCAGCCCAAATGGAGATTCCTGCTGTCACGGAGGTATGGGGGTGATGGTGACGGGGAACCCCATGGAGGAGGAGCGGGTGTCCCAGAGGGGGGACTCCAGCAGGAGAGGGAGCCCCCATTTCTGTGTCCAGGGCCCATCGGTCCCTGCTCACGGGACAAGAGGCAGGGGCAGGCTGCTGCACGGGGAGACAACAACAGGACAGGCCCTGGGGACACCCCTGCCCACCTCACTTCCCTCCTGTTGGAGGGAGAAGGGGCAACCAGTTGAGGGGTGATCTCTCTCTGGCCCCAGGAAGCCTCAGGGTTCCCTACCTCCAGCCTCAGGGAAAGAGTGTGAATGAGTGTGTGTGAGAGTATGTGTGGGTGTGAGTGAGTGTGTGTGAGAGTGAGTGTATGAGAGAGTGTGGGTGTGAGTGTGTGCATGTGAGAGTATCTGTGTGTGTGAATGTGTAAGAAAGCGAGTATGTGCGTGTGAGAGTGTGTGAGAGTATGTATATGTGAGTGTGTGTAAGAGAGAATGTGAGTGAGGGGAGTGTCTGAAGGTGAGTGTGGGAGAAAGTGTATGAGAGAGTGTGAGGAAGTGTGTGTGTGTGAGTGAGTGTGTGTATGTGTAAGAGGGTGAGTGTGTGCGCAAGAGTGTATGTGTGAGAGAGAGTGTGTGTAAGAAAGTGAGTGTGTGTGAGACCGTGTGTATGTGAGTGTGTGTACGTGAGTGTGTGTGTTGAGTGTGTGTATGTGAGTGTGTGAGGGTGTGAGTGTGTGTGTTGAGTGTGTGTATGTGAGTGTGTGAGAGAGAATGTGTGAGAGTGTGTGTGTGTGAATGTGAGTGTGTGAGTGTGTGAGAGAGTGTGTGAGGGAGTGTGGGTGTGAGAGGGAGCAGGTGTATGTGTAAGACAGTGAGTGTGTGTGTGAGGGAGTGTGCACCCATACTCGAGCACACATCGGTTCCTATGGGTGTGTTTGCACAGGGTGCTGTTGGGCAACGCTCCCCCTACAGCCTGCGCTGGCTCCCAGCACCTGCTCCTGCTTCACACCCTCACCCAGTGCCAGGGCCTCTGCCCACCCTCTCCTGGAGGGGGTCTGGGAGAAGGTGGGAGGGCCCTGAGGTTGGAGAAGGGCCCATTCCTTCAGCTTGCACCTGGGGTGCAGTCCTTGGTCACCAAGGGGACCGCAGTGTCTGGGGGGGTGGGGGGTGGCCTGAGGGACCCCATGTGAGAGGCTCAATCTCAAGTGCAACCAGCACCCCAACCCCACTGTGGCTGAGTCCACCGTCTCATAGAGAACCTGTCTCGTGGGACTTACGAGGCTGTAAACCCTTAGAGGAGCAGGAGCCTCATCTTTCTCCCAGGACGTGCCTGGTGGGTTCGAACCTCTGACTTTGTGGTTAGCAGATATTTTTGTTTGTTTCTTTACCCGACCGCCCCTCCAGGACTCTTTAATCGACTCTCACACAGGGTTTGTTACCCATGAGGCACTGGGGCACATGCTCTGTCCAGATGAACTCCTAACACTAAGGTAACCCTGAGTTTCAGTGAGGGCAGGGGGGTGTCCTTGGGGGCACAGGTTGGACAACATGTAAATGAGAATGGCTGTCACTAAACTGTCCCTGTATGTGAAGATCACTGGAGTGTCAGATGCTTGGCTAGGCTTATTTTTCCCACAGTTAGCAAAGATTAGCTCCTGGAAGCCCCACAATAACCCTGGGAGGGCATGGGGGTTCTCGGCCCCATTTTAGAGGCAGAGGCTCAGGGAGGTTAAGAAACAGCCAGTGGTACACAGCTCTCAAGTGGCAGAGCTGGGATTTGAACCTGGGGAGTGCGTGTCTATGCTGGTCCCACCGCAAACAGCTGGTGGATAAACCCAGAATGATAGAGTCCCGCTTCTCAGATGGGACCCCAGCTGGGTATTGCAGGGTCCCTCACCCACCTGGCTGCCCCTCATCCTCTGTACCAGGGTCACCCAGAACAGACGGGCCGTCAGGCATGTGCACGGGCGCGCGCACACGTAGTGTCGCCCGAGTTACTCACCTACAGTGACCGGCAGAAGGCTAGCGGGGACTTCAGGAGAGGATAGGTTGTGCGAACCTGTCAGAAAGCACCGTGCAGTTAACACAGCACACAGTTCCTGACCACCTATTGTGTAGCTGGCATAGGACTGAAGACAGACAGGTATCCTGGGCCTGAAGGACAGCATCCACCAGGGCTGGGGTGGGGGTGGGGGTGTTATCGCTAAAGAAATGCCTGTCCTCTGCCCAGATCTAAACTGAGAATATTCAGGGGTTAAGCCAAAGGGATGGGCTGAAACGTTGGCTGTTCAAATCTGCCCCCGAGGCACCTCGGAAGAAAGGCCTGGTGATCTACTTCTGAAACATGAGCCACTGGGACGCCCGTGGGACCCGGCTGGTTGCCATGCATTGGGACAGACTCCAGGGCACTGGCTGTGGTTTGTGTCATCTGCTGGGGACTGCGCACACTGCTCCGGGCCCTCTGCTGGGTGCTTGTCACACACCTCGGGAGGGGGTGGCCGCTCTCCTCACCCAAGGTCTCATTTCACCGGTCAGGGAGGGAGGGAGCTTGCAGAGTCCCGTTCCCAGTGTTGGCTGGTTTCCCAGCAGCCCCGAGCAGGGCTGGCCTGCCGTCATGGTACCCTCACACACAGGGGTCTGACTCCGGAGAGGCAGAGGGGCTGTCCACAGACGTCTACCTGGAGCTAGAATTCACAACCAGGCGTCCTGACACTCCCCCAACCCCACCCAGGGCTACCAACACCGTGTCTCCGGATCTCATCCCCTTCCTCGCCTCTCAGCATCACTGACATGGGTCGGGCTGAGTGTTGTAATGAAGGTCATGTCAGGAGCTGGTTAGGCGGTGGTGTGGGTGGTGGTTAATGGGTGCTGTCGAGTTACTTCCGACTCATAGGGACCCCGTGGACAACAGAATGAAACACGGCCCAGTCTTGTGCCCGCCTCACAATTGTGTGTGAGCCGACTGGCAGCCACCGGGCCAGCCCATCTCCCTGAAGGCTTCCTTCTTTCTCACTGCCCCTCCACGTTACCCAGCATGCGTCCCTTTGCAGGGGCTGGTCTCTCCTGACAACGCGTCAAATGATGTGAGATGAAATCTCGCTCTTCTCTCTGCTAAGGAGCAGCACAGCTGTACTGCTTCCCAAACAGAATCTCTTGTTCTTCTGGCAGGCCCGCGTCTTCGCCAGCACCGAGACCTAAAGGCATCGACTCTTCTGAGATCTTCTTTATGAACTGCCCAACAGTCGCATGCCAAGGAGGCGATGGGAAACGCCATGGCTTGGCCCAGGGGCACCGTGGTCCTCCAAGTGGCTCCCTTGCTGTTCACCGCCTTAAAGAGGTCTTGGGCGACAGACCGGCCCGAGGC